CAGAGACTGTAGAACCCACAGAACCAAGCACATTTACCATCTGGTCTTTACAGAAAATGTTTCCTGGCCCCTGTTCTAACAGTGTTTGGGGTGAGGGAGCAGCTGTGCATATAAGGGGGGACCAGGCAGTGATGGCTTTTGGACAATCCCTCCAGGTAGGGAAGGGGAGGTGAGAGGCAGGGAGATGAGAGGGTCCAAGAGGAGAACCTGAGGCCTCAGCAATGAGAGGGGTCAGGATGGAGAGTGGGGACCAATGCTGGCTGTTCTTAGGGGATAAACGGGCAAGACATGGTGAACTTTTGGCATAGGGGAAGAAAGAAAGGACATACAGGAGGTAACTCTTCCAGTGTCCCTGGCCGAGGAACAAGCAGAGGGGATGGACTTCTGTGCTACTGGCACCCTGGGGAATGCTGCAGGGGGCGGCAGCTTTTGGGTGGGAGGAAGAGATGAGGAGGCAACTTTGGCCATGCCAGCTGAGCAATACTGGAGGACATCCTGTGGGAGGTGTCCAGGCTGCAAGCTGGATGTGGACATATCCAGTAGCTTACCCGAGAGCCTGGGACCCTGACAGCGTCTGGCTCCTCCACACCTGTGTCCCCCACGCCCGCTGCTGCTCTTGCCGCCTTCCTCCTGCAGGACCTCACCCTGAAAGGACAGACCAGAGAGCCTTAGTCTGGGCAGATGAGGGCACAGTGGGCAGGGTGACCCCACATTTTCTTCCTAGGAAGGGGCTGGAGGGATGGCCATGGTGGGACAGGGGTTACCAGTCCCACAGATGCCAATACTGAGAACACACCCACCAGCCTCCTGGATGAGGGGTCCCCAGATTGCCATAGACTAGGAGCCCCCAAAACAAGGGAGCTCATGAAATTCTCACAGTGCACTCCTCACCCCCTTCCTGCCCTTTCTTCAAGCTCATGCCCCATCCAGCTCCCTCTACCTCTGTCCACAGGGACTCTGCACCTGGCCTGCCCTCCCCCCAAGGTCAATGCTTACATGATGAAGATGACGCAGAAGGACAGGAAGACCAGGACTGTGGCTCCAGCTCCCCAGACAGCCCCCAGCGTCCCCCCCGAGACAGGCTGCACTGTGCCTGCAGATGCAGGAGAGCAACTCTGGTGACTCACCTGCAAGTGCTGGGTCTCTCCTCCTCCCACCCCTGTAGGGGCCTGGGCTCCTACTCCCCTTCCCCATCTCAGAGGCAAGGAACAAGGACGGGAGAGAGGAGGTGGGGAGGCTGCTGGTGGGACCAGTGACACATGGAAGTGCTGCTGCAGCCTTTAAAAATTTAGAAATTTTGTTCATCATTGATTTTACTGTGTTCAACTTATTGTTTTAAAAAAAATCATTGCATAGCAATATTACTTCCCTTGATTGGTGACTGGTTTGTCCTTATGTCTTCTGAAATTTTGTACCCAAGTTGAATTCCTGATGTGTCTCACCCTAGTCCCAGCCCTGCGGAGCAAGGACCTTCTCTCCCCAAACACCCCTGTCCAGCCCCAGCCCCTCCCCCCCAGGTCCACTTCTGCCCCTCGCCCCACCCCAGGCCCCTTGCCAGGCAGGAAGAGGACAGTGGTGCTCTGAGTCACAAGGAAGTTCCAGGCCTCACAGCTGAGCCTCCCTTTAGGTTAAGGGATTGCTGGGTGGACTCCAAAGTTGGGGCAGGTGTGTTCTTCTCTATTTCTCCCCGACCCACCTGGGTCCTCAGTCTGCAGGGAGAGGCTCAGGGAGACGTGCTGGGAGCCCAGAGGGTTCTGAGCTTGGCAGGTGAATTCTCCTTTATCCCTGAGGTGCACTCGAGGCAGCTCCAGCACCCCAGGGCCCAAGGGCTGGGAGGGGTTGAGGGTGAGTCTCCCCCAGGTCCAGGTGATCCTGGCAGGGGGGTTGCTGTTGACAGCGCAGACCAGACGCAGGGACTGGCCTTCCAGGACTGACACAGATGAGCCGTTCCCAAGCCCAGTGACTTCTGCAGAGTAAGAGACAGAGGTCAGAGAGACAGAGAGATCTGCAGACAGGAAGGAAGGACAGAGAAAGGCCCTGCTGAGGGGAAGACACATACGGAGAGTGCAGTGGAGGCAAACACACACGTTGACCTATCCCTGTTGGGAATGTAACGTGTACACCCTTTATACAGAAACACTTGGACATATTTCTCAAAATTAAAGAAAACTTAGGACCCATTTATTATTTGTAAGAATTTATCCCACAAACATACACACAAGTGTGAAGAAGATAGAAGATATTCCTTGCAGTGTGTCTGCTGATAAGATAAAATAACGCCATGACTTTCCATTGGCATAAGATGTATCTAGACTCAGGGTAAATCCATGCAGGGGGACACCACACAGTCACACAGGACCATGGGGATGGCTGCACTACGGATGTCAAACCACCTCTGAGGTTCTGCAGGTGAACAGACCAAGGCTCTAGCAGCCTGGGGGACCCTGGTGGGTTCTGGGGACGGGACAGGCCTCTGAGGACTCACTCTGCTGTACATTTGGAATTGTCGCCCATGTGACCATATCACCCACCCAGAATTAGGTAAACACTTGGGGAAAAAAACAGACGAGGCTGAAGGAGTGTTCAGGAGACGAATGACAAGGGGCTTGGAGGCCAGTTGTGCTGTGTGACTGTCACCCTGTCCTTGTGGGCTCAGGGGGTGAGAAGGTGTCTTAGGGGAGAAAGGGGCCCTGGGTCACCAGCAGGGAGGTCTCAGGTGACCAGATGAGTCCAGGATGAGAAGGATGCACCTGCCCTGACTAAAGAGGCCCTGCTCCCGCAGCCCAGGGAGGGCCTGTCCTACCTGAGCCATTTCCATGGAAGACAGTCATGGTAAGGTTCTGAGGAGAGTCTGGGGTAGACACACATGGCAAGCCAAAGTCACTGCTGAGGGCTGAGTGGACGCTGCCTCTGTCCCCAGGAGCCACATCAGGGGGGAGAGGGGAGCCAGCGTCTTCCTAACCTTCCCCAATAGGACCCAGTTCCCAGCACCCCGTGTGCAGCCCTGACCCCATCCCACTGCCCTGGGGACCCCCAGCAGGACCCCAGACTTCCCAGTCCGGCTCTCACAGGACACGTTGAGATGGACGGTCCTCGTCATGGTCACACCGGCCCCAGGCAAGGTCACCTGGCAGGTGAGGCTGGTGCCGTGGTCCTGGGGCTGAGGGACGAGGGTGAGCACTGAGGAGCGGCCGATGGTGGGGCCCTGGGGAGCCACGGAAGACCCCTCCCAGGAGATCCTGGGGGGCGTCCCCTGCTCACAGGCCCAGGGCACAGAGCAGGTCAAGGTGCTGGGGTGGCCGCACTCCAGGGACCCCGGGAGGAGGATGTCGGGCGTGTGGGTCAGGGCTGGGGAGGAGAGGGGGACACACAGGGTCAGGAGAGAGGGTCCGAGGTGGGGTCCTGAGAGGACTCAGGCTCTGGTCCAGCTCCTCCCCTGAGCCCCACACGCTTCACCCCCAGCCCCTCCCAGCACGGGGTCCCAGCCCAGCCCTGCCCTGTGGCCCCCACCACCTCCACCTCTGGACACTCCTGGAGCCGGAGCCTTACCTGTCACATGCACAGCCAGCTTGTTTTGTTCATAGTTCCATTTCATCCATCCTCGCTCCACCCGAAAAAAGTATGACCCCTCGACCCTCCTTGTGGCGTCTCTGATGCTCAGGGAGCAGTCGTTCCTCCTGAGATCCCCTAAGAGGTGGAATCGGCCCTTGGTCTCCTTCTGCACTTTCCTAGCTGGGTCGTTTGTGACCACGGGAGCGTCCCTCTCCACACTGGCCCCTTCCCGGAACCAGTAGCCATGAACAGGATGAGAGTCCTTCCAGCCGTACAGAGGATAGGAGAAGGAGCAGGGCACATGGACACACAGGCCCTCCTGCACCGTCACCACACTCTGCACTCGCAGCCTGTAACCTCCCCTGGGCCATCCCTGTCCCACCACCCCCGCCATCCCCCAGAGCAGGGCCAGCAGCAGCAGCATGTCCGGGCGCAGGTGCCAGGGCCACCAGGGACAGTCTGCTCCTCCGGGTTCTTCTCTCCGGAACTGAGAGATGCAGGACTTAGAGGAGACCTCACAGGAAGACGGGGGCGAGATCACAACCCTGACCCTCCTCAGAGGAGGAACGTCACAGCCTGACACTGTCAGGGCCAGAGCAGGACTTAGAGATCAATTGTCACCACCGACATCCACTCCTGGGGACCCTGTGCCCAGACAGGGTGACAGTCACCCAAGTTCCCAACCCATGCAGTCCCCGACCACATCCCCTGTCTCCCTGTCAAAGTCCTTCCCCTCAGGGGACATATTCAGGAAGATGATAATGGGACCCATCTGGCCGGACAACGAGTCACAGGTTGGGGATGTTTGTGGGGTCAGGGGTGGGGCTGAGGGACATGGCCATGGTGGAGGCCCAGGCGGGGTGGGCAGCAGCCTCCTCCCCTCCTGCAGCCACGTGTGGCCGTCCCCTCTCTGCACATGGAGGTCAGCACAGCAGACCCGGGCGCTGTCCTCATGGAGTCACCGTCCAGCTAGGGAAACATGAGGTCTCCCGGCACCTGGAGCCCCTCACGACAGCAGCTGGGACTCTGTGAATACGAGTGTTTTGTGTGTTTCAAAGCTCCATGAATAAATACACACATATTTAGAATTTTTATCTTATTCTGATGTTTAAAGCTTTGATCTTTATAAAGTTCTCTTTCTTCATCTGTGCTAAAGCACTTTGCCTTGTGACTAATTCATCTGATATTAGGAAAGTGCCACCAACTGCCTTTTGTTTACTGCTTGCATAGTGTCATCATTTGTCCTCTTAAATTTTAAACTTTCTGAGTCTTCAAGTGATATTTCTGTTTCCTGTAAGTAGCGGGAGGCCGCCTTCCCTTCACTTATTGTGGCATTCATTCCTCCAGACACACAGGGCTTGTCCTCTCTTGGGGGAAGAGAGAAGGAGGCGAGTGTGACAGACCCAGTGCTGCCCTCACTGTCCCGCAGGGAGCCCAGGCTCTGCTGGGAAACAGCTCCTGCCCCTGGATGAGGAGAACTTGTCCCTGCTGGGAGGTGGGGGCTGTGGAGGAAGTGGGTTCCTGGGAGCCGGGACAGGGGATTCAGGGAGTCTCCTTAAATGGATTGAGGGGTGATTTTGACAATTGTTAGAACATTCTAGTTCTTTGATGTTCCATATACATTTTAGAATCAACTTGCCAATTTCTATACACGCTCTTCCGGAAAATTTGTTTGGAATTGCTTTAAATTCACGGATCAATTTGGAAAAAACTGGGATCTTAAGAATATTGTCTTCCCCTCCTTGAACATTGCATGTGTGTGTGTGTGTGTGTGTGTGTGTATAAACATGTATGTATTTAGGACATATGTATTATGTAGATCTCTTTTTATTTGTCTCAGCAATGTTTTGTAGTTTTCAAATAAATTTCTTACATGTATTTTTTAAATTTATTTCATGTTTATAATGTTATACTAAAGTGTACTTTTAAAAAATATTTTATTTTTAATTATCCTTGGCTAACATGTAGATATCCAATAGAATTTTCTAGTTTGAACAAATATGCTGCCACCTCCATCAGTCATTTATTGGTTTAGTAGCTTCTTTGTGGATAACTGTGGATTTTGTCTATACTCCATCATGTTGTCTGTGAATAAAAACAGGTTGACCTCCTCCTCTAGGATCTGAATAGCTCTACTTTCTTTTCCTGTTTTTATTGCACTGGGAAGAGGCTGCAATATGTTTCCTAGAAGTGGCGACAGCAGCCACTCTGCCTTGTTTCCAATCCTAGGGGAGAAAGTTCTCAGTCTCTCAGATTGTTGGGGGCTGATTCTGGCGTTCTCCCTTATACTAATCATTCCCTATAGCCTGTAATGTGCGGGTGCTGCATGATGTAACGATAGTCAGCATTTTCTTCAGACACGGTTGCTGCCTCGTGACATGATAAGAGGCCTGAGTTTCTGCACATAAGCAAATGCTGCCCGGCTCCCACACGGAGGGCCCCTGTGGTAGGAGTCTGGAGGCCGTATTAATAAAGAAAACATTCCCAAAACCTGGCTCCTGTTTGACGGTTAATAGTCAATGACAGATAAGACTGCTCACAAAAAGAGTGACCTAAGACACACACAACCATAGGGGTCAGCCACTGGCTGAGAGAGAGCCGCTGGCTAAAAAAAAAGCACACAAAGTCCTTCTGATGGCTGCATTATTTAACGTTGCTTATCTCGGCCTTGGCTTTTAAGTCATGTCTGGCACTAGCACCTCAAGTAATTGTTTCGAGGTCTGAGACCATACAAAACTATTACCTGATGAACAACTCCAAAATTAACAGTTATCGCTACTATGCCAAAATGCTCACATACAAAAAACGTAAACCTAAAAAATATAAAAATACAGCAACCAATATATTAGACATTCAAGTCATTTCATGTCCATATGTGTCTGTGTTATTATTTTATGTTCTGTGTCCATCTCCTGTCCTATAATCAGGCCACAACACAGATCAAAGTGGGATATTGCAGATCCCATCTTCGGAAAGTACGTGTTCTCTGCTATTTCCAGATTACTGAGAATTTTAATCACAAATTGGTATTAAAGTTTGTCAGATGATTTTGCATATGGTTTTCCTACTTTGCTCCTTTAAAGGAATAAAATACATTATTTGTTTTTTGAATGTTTTAATTGTGGAAAAAACACATAACATAGAATATGCATCTTAACAATTTTTAAGCACAGAGTTCAGTGGTAATAAGTATATCTACAATGATGTGCAACACATCTCCAGAGCTTTCTTGTCTTGCAAAACCAAAACTCCACCCCATTAACTACACTTCCCTGAGTCTTCCCATCCCCTACTTTCTGGTAACCACTGTTCTACTTCTGTTTCTACTTCAACTCAAGGAAGTGGAATCGCAGAGTACTGGTTTTTTTGGTGACTGAGAATTTCACTTAGCACAGTGTCCCCAAGGTCCTTCCATTTGGTGGCATGTGTCAGAAAGTCCTTTCTAAAAGAAAGAATAGTATTTTGTATTCAGTTAGACATGTTTTTGTATATCCATGCATCTGTCACTGGAAACTTGGGTCACTTCCACTTCTTGGCTATTGTGAATAATTCTGCCATGGACACGGGTTTGCCAGCATGTGATCAAGTCCCTGCTTTCAGTCATTTTCATATATATGCACAAGGGCACTTGCTGAATTAGGCTAATGCTGCTTGTGATTTATGAGGAATTACTTGCTCACGTTACCCCTTTCATTCCCTCGTCAGTTGCCGTGTTATGCCCACAACGCTCCACCTGGAGTCCCCTACTGAGCTGCCAACACGCGTGTCCAGCTGTGTCCATGGTGTCCCCACTCCGACGCCAGGTGGACTGTCAGGACTGACCCTGCCCTGCAAAGCCCTCCCTCCGCAGCCCCTGTGGACACAGCTCCTTCCTTCCAGGAGCTCAGGGGACAACTCTGGATCATCCATGTCTTCCCGTCCCCTGATGACCACGCCCATCAGAAACCCTGTGAGCCTGACCTTCCACATGTCCCAAATCACGTGCTCAGCCTGGCCCCGCCCCCCTGCTGCAGCCACCGTCCCTCCCCCTGATGGCGCCTTCCCAGTCTCCCTGACCAGGGCAGCCAAGGTCCTGTCACGGTGCAAGTGCAGTCCTGTCCCTGCTGTCCCAAAAGGCTCTGGGTTCCTGGGTGTCAGCCCTGTCCTCCCCCTGCTCCTCCTCCTGCCACATCTGCTGTCACACACGGGTCCTGGAAAATCCCCAGCACCCGGCCTGCCGCTGCCTCTGAGCACTGCGCTCGCCGTTCCCTCTTCCCTCCTCCTGCGATGCTTTTCCTGACTCACACGCAGAGCCTGACTCCTCACCACCCTCACGCTGTGCCCAGACACCACCTCCTCACACCTTCACACGGAAACTGTCCCCAGTGTGTCGTATTCTCCTTCCTCTGAGTTATTTCTCTCTAACCCCAGGTGGCCACCCAGCATGGCCTCACATTTTTTATCCATTTTCACCCTTTTCCATCCAGTCTGCAGAACAACAGCTCCCGACAACGGACCTGAGGCTGCGTGTGCGGATGCTCCCTGCACGCACAGTAGGGCTGAGACGGCGCAGGGCACACCAGCAGTCACCAAGGACGTCTGTTAGTGAATGGAGGGACGGCACCCTCTAGTTTGTATCATACTAGACTCACACACACACACACACACACACACACACACGCACACCTGGATGACAGTGGAGACTGGGCCTGCAGGTGACCAGGGCTGGCATAGATAGAAATTGGGAGGGAAGGGCATTTCAGGACGAGGAACTGCACATGCAAAGCCTCAGAGTCACAGAGGACTTGGCCCAGGGTTTGTGGGGACACATGGGGAGATGCAGGGAAGGGAGGGATCAGGAGGACAGTCCGGCAGGGACAGACCCTGTGAGTCCTCATCCCGGCCGTGGCGTTTGTGCCTCATTCTCCAGCAATGGGGGAGGCACGGCCGTTCTCACTGCTCAGGGCCAGATGAGGACACATCTGGAGGCCCAGTCTAGAGGCCTGTGCTGGGGAGAGACAGAGGCAGGGGTGGGGTAGACTCAGGGAGCAGGAAGGAAGTGAGGCCGCAGGAATGACCAGGGCCAGGGTGGAGAAAAGGGCTCGGGATGAGCCGAGCTCAGGAGAAGGAGGGACAAGAGTGAGTGACCTGTGGGGTGTGGGGGAGGGGGTCAAGGTGGGGAACCTCACCCTGGATCTGCACATAGAGACTCAGCCACCCAGGCGTCAGCCAGACGGGGGACCCAGCAGGACAAGGGGGCTTGGGGAGGAGTGGGGTGCTCAGCCTTGGCCATGCTGACCAGAGCAATACTGGAGGCCATCACAGAGGAGGTGACCAGTGCATTGTGGGAGCTGAGACGCCACATCACTCACCTGAGGGATTAGCCCGTGACAGTGTCTGCATCCTCCGTGCCCCCTGCTGCCCGGTGCACCTTCCCCTTGCGGG